GACATATTAACACCAGTGAACATGCACTGAACAAATAAATTTGACCTATGCTACAATGTAAATACAAAATAAATAAACTAAGGGAAGAATAATAAAAGTAGCATGTTATATCGGTATGAAATGTTAAACAATTTAAGAAAAACAATATGCTCGAACAAAAATATGTCTACTTGAGGTACACATCCACAATTACTGCACCTCAAGTACAGACCAATTCAATCTACATACACCCAAATATAATGAATATAAATGTATTACAATCAAGAATTTGGCCACCAAAGGGTCTTCAACACAGCGAAAAAATCCTGCATCCTGGAGGCGCGCTTCAGCTGGCCCCTTAGGTATCAATATATACAGTTAGGAAAAAATATTTAAATTTAACCTCATAAATTTTACCATCCCCTTTTCCTTGCTTTGTTACAAATTAAGCTTACTGTTTGTGTCATATATGTGCATATGTATATAATCAGTATCTTCCATAGATTTGATATCAAGGAGTTAAAATGGTTAAATATAACTTCTTTTTTGATGTATCCATGGCAACAATCTGTATTTATAAAATTTGCAATAAAATATTGCAAAAAGGGGATAAAGATGTCACATATTTGACCAAAACTAGGCAAAAATTAGAATTTCATTCCCTTGGAGTGATACCTTTTCTGAAACTGTTTAAATATATCTATCAAGGGATCCAATTAAAAACATATGTCGTTCGTTTCATTTTTTTGTAAAATTGCGTATAAAAGTTCGTTTGAAAAAATAGTGTTTGTAAACATTACAATAATTTCTGGACCTATGGTCATTCTAGCTATGAAAATATGTACAATCTATCAGAAAATAGCCCATAAAACATATAGACAATAATCTTGATGTTCTTATATATAAACCCATTTTGAAGGCTAAATTAGTCATAAGCTGTCTAAACATGAATTTTATTGTACAATAACTTTCATATTTGAAAAATCCACGAGGGCCAAAATGCGAAACCACACTCCTAACTGTGTATTTTTACCTTAACACTTTAATAGTAATTATTTTTTTTCAAATTCTCCATTTTCAGTTATTTTCTGTGAACATTCTGTTAGCTAATACGAGTAAAATGGCCTTTTATTTTTGAAAATTGGTTGAGTAATAAATATTTTATGAAGGTTAGAAGTTTACACTGAAAAGCGACAAAAACTGATTTAAAGAAAAGTGCCAAGTAAAAGTGTAAAATCTCATTTCTACCTCAATTTCTGGTTAAATTTTAAAAACTATACATTGTACCTCTTGTTTCTGTTTTTTAATGTTGAAATCTTAATAAGGTATCTGAAGATGCAATATTGTACAAAATTTAGCAATTTGAGGCATAAAAATTGTATTTTTTATGTGTATTGCATACAAAGCCTTCATTAAGAAACTAGGTAATAGGGAATCAATTTCTAACATGTCTAACAGCGGAAAGAACTATACATTTAATTTATGCCAAAATGTAACATGAAACTTGAATAAAAATAACCGTTTGATATATTCACAAGAAAAAATACAAAGCTTTCAATACTTGGGCTTCTACATAGAGTAAAATTCTTTAGTAGCAAAGCTTAAGCCTATAGAGTATAAATATAAGCTTTAAATTGTATGTCTGACAAGAAAAGAAAAGTTCATTGATATCTTTAAAAAATTTCAATAAAATGCTCCACGGGCGCAGCTTGAAACGACTGCAGGGGTCGAACTTGAACAGTTGGGGCAATTATAGGCACTACATTCAAGCTTGATACAGCTTTGAATTTGAATTGTGTTTAAATATTTGACACAGCATACATGTAGGTTTCTGACACAGAATGAACGTGGTCAAAGAACAGAAAAATTTTAAATTGGACTTTTACCTTTAATGGTCCAATATCCAAAATCTAAATACATGGTAAGAATCAGCATATCAAAGAACCACAAAAATTAAATGTTTGATGAAATCAACAGATCAAACAATTTCAAATTTTGGACCCTATAGACCTCAATGTGGACCAATTTGATAAGGGGGCCCAAAATTCAAAATGTAAATACATGGTTAGATTCAGCATATCAAAGATTAAGAATCCCATATATTCAATTTTTGTTGAAATCAAACAAAGTTTAATTTTTGACCCAGATTTGGACCAACTTGAAAAATAGGTCCAAAATCAAAAATCTAAATATAAGTTTAGATTCAACATATAAGAGAACCCCTTTGGACCTTATTGAAGGCCGGTCCAATAATCAAAAGTCTAAATACATGGTAAGATTCAGCATATCAAAGAACCCCAAGAGTTCATTTTTTTTTAAATCACACAAAGTTTATTTTTGGACCCTTTGGACCTCAATGCGGAACAATTCAAAAACAGGGCCAAAATCGAAAATCTAAATACCAGGTTAGATTCAGCATATTAAAGAACCCAAGAATTCAAGAAATTGAATTAAACCACATTGAAATTGATCAAGAAATAAGCAATGTATACAAAGTATTAGAAAAGTATTGTTTTAAGCACCCTTTTCCTAAACGGCTAGGGCCATAATCCCCAAAAAATCAATTCCAACCTTCCTTTTTTGCTATATGGAACCTTGTGGTACAATTTCATAGAGGTCCATACACTTATTCTCAAGTTACTGTCTGGAAACCAAATGACTTTGGCCGACGCCAACAAAAAGTTTGTGGTCATATAAAATTTAAATCTGGGACATAATTACCATAAAAATGATAAATAAAATCAGAAAAAAAACAAAGAAACAGAAGAATAACCTTATGAACATAGATATATTTTTAAAATCTCTTTAGTGTCAATACGTGAGTTATACTATGCAGTATACGGTCATTTTCAATTTTATGTGACTGTGTATTAATCATGTTAATACATTTCTGTACATTTTGTCCTTTCAAGTTCAGACCTATTTTCTGACACCTGCAATTTAATGTGGGATTCTTTTACAATTTATTACAGCTACACTGCATCATCTCTATTAGAATAATCATGGTTAATATTTGCTACCTTTTCATTACACAAATATATAATTATAATAATCAGACAATCAAGTAAATTTGACAGCATGATGTACCTGAATCACATACATAATGTGTAGACCACATGTACTTTTATACTAGATCTAAAATGAAAATGCTTACCTCATCAATTTAGACTGTTGTTTACACTTAAGGATAAAACATGTGTGAATTTAGAATCGAGCTACCAAAAGATCAATATCAATTTCACTGTTCAGTGAAGTTTTAATAAAACTATACATACAATATAGGTGAAGAAACCTACTGTATAAGTGCAAACATTTTTAAATCTGTTTTTATGTACTGTAAATTCAGAAATTATTGCATTCATTTATTGTTGCGATTTTAGGAAAATCTGCATACACATGAACATATAACAAAATGTGAGTTCTTATAATTGTGATTATTGGTAATTTTGTACATTTTTCCTTTGATGTGTACTCTTTGATAATGTCAGTATCCTTGGACTGGTTATGATAAAAAAATTATTGGGTCAGTTCACATTTGACATGTGCGAGTGCACCACGTAAGGATCTACTTTTCCTTTCTTTCACAAAAATCACACGTAATTTTTTTCGCAGAAACGCACGATTTTTTGGGTGATTAATACTTGTCATTGTTTCAATAAAGTTTGTTTAGCTTTTTTGAACAGTTTTGTCTAAATTGCGTTAAAAATTTGAACAGAAAAAGTTCGTTATATATCCCTATTATTATTTAATCTATTGATAGCTTACCTTACTATCCCTATAGATCTATCTATAAGCAGCTTAGCTTGCATGTTAAATAGTATGGTGCTGTTCCAATGTGTCTTCTTTTTCTGTTTCTTGAGGAGGATTTTTTCAACCTGTTCAGTCACTATAAAGTGTTACAATTCATATTTAGACGCAACACATAAATGGTGACCAAAAAGGTACCGCAATCACAGGATGGACCCTAAAATCAAAAAAATAAAATATACACATTTTTTTATCTTTTTTTTATGGGACAAGGAGATGTGATTTTATTGCAAATGCATCGACAGTTATTTATTATGATTCATAGACTGAAAAACAAATAAGTGAACAAATTACAGGTTACGGTAGGGCCTTCAATATTTCAACGGTCCAGGTTGAAAAATAAATGACATGACTTGAAAAAAAAACATGAAAACTAAAAATTAGACCAAAGTTGAGCTCGAGTTACATTCATTGAAATATTTGAAATAGTTATGAGGTTAACAAGACATGAGCTTTCAGATAATCTACAAACATGCTACCCACACCTGAAAAAATAATTGTCTGCTTTCAGAGTGCTTTCCTAAATTCATGAATGAGTGCGATCGTCTTCTGGCTGAACGCCAAGCGTATAAGGATAAGATAAATGTGATTTTAAAGGAAATTATCCATCTGATAATTTACAAGTTAATAACAGATTTTACCTGAACTTCTAAAACAATGATTCAAATCGTATGCTTCTTTGCTATGTAAAACTAGAGGCTCTAAAGAGCCTGTGTCATTCACCTTGGTCTATGTGCTGCAGTGCATATTGAACAAAGGACACTCTACAACATTAAAGACAAGAAAAGAATTAATGACAAAATTCTCAGTTTTGGTGATGGTGACTTGTTTGTAGATCTAACTTTACTGAACAATTTTGCTGTTTACATTTTATCTCTATCTATTATAATATTCAAGATAATAACCACAAGAGTGCACACGCTGAAATGTCTCGCCTTCTTTACTAATCATTTATATTAAGTTGATAGTCCTAAATATAAAGCTTTATTACAACTGTCACATAAACTTAACATTAACCAAGTAAACTAAACATTGACCAATGAACCATGAAAATGAGGTCAAGGTCAGATGAACCATGCTAGGCAGGCATGTACAGCTAACAATTCTTCCATACAACAAATATAGTTGACCTATTGTTTATAGTTTAAGAAAAACAGACCACAACACAAAAACTTAACACTGAGCAATGAACCTTGAAAATAAAACCTGCCTGACTGACATATAGATCATAGTATATTTCCATACACCAAATATAGTTGAACTATTGCATATAGTATTAGAAAAAAAGACCAAAACTCAAAAACTTAACTTTCACCACTGATCTATGAAAATGAGGTCAAGGTCAGATGACACCTGCCAGCTAGACATGTACACCTTACAATCATTCCATACATCAAATATAGTAGACCTATTGCATACAGTATAAGAAAAACAGACCAAAACACAAAAACTTAACACTGAGCAATGAACCTTGAAAATGAGGTCAAGGTCAAATAAAACCTGCGTGACTGACATATAGATCATAAAATATTTCCATACACCAAATATAGTTGAACTATTACATATAGTATTAGAAAAAAAGACCAAAACTCAAAAACTTAACTTTTTTGACCACTGAACCATGAAAATGAGGTCAAGGTCAGATGACACCTGCCAGCTAGACATGTACATCTTACAATCATTCCATACACCATTTATAGTTGACCTATTGCATACAGTATTAGAAAAAAAGACCAAAACTCAAAAACTTAACTTTGACCACTGAACCATGAAAATGAGGTCAAGGTCAGATGACACCTACCAGTTGGACATGTACACCTTACAATCATTCCATATACCAAATATAGTAGACCTACTGCTTATAGTATCTGATATATGGACTTGACCACGAAAATTTAACCTGGTTCACTGATCCATGAAATGAGGTCGAGGTCAAATGAAAATTGTCTGACGGGCATGAGGACCTTGCAAGGTACGCACATACTAAATATATTTATCCTATTACTCATAATAAGAAAGAAATTAACATTACAAAAAATGTTGACTTTTTTTTCAAGTAGTCACTGAACCATGAAAATGAGGTCAAGGACATTGGACATATGACAGACGGAAACTTCGTAACATAAGGCATCTATATACAAAGTATGAAGCATCCAGGTCTTCTAGCTTCTAAAATATAAAGCTTTTAAGAAGTTAGCTAACGCCACCGCCGCCGTAGCCGCCGCCGGATCACTATCCCTATGTCGAGCTTTCTGCGACAAAAGTCGCAGGCTCGACAAAATACTGCAAAATTTCCTTAAAATTACCAATTCAGGGGCAGCAACCCAACAAGGGGTTGTCTGATGCATCTGATAATTTCAGTGCAGATAGATCTTGACCTGATGAACATTTTTACCGCATGTCAGATTTGCTCTTAATGCTTTAGTTTCAGAGATATAAGCCAAAAAATGCATTTAACCACCATGTTCTATTTTTAGCCAAGGCGGCTATCTTGCTTGATGGGTGGGGTCATCGGATACACTTTTTAACCTAAATACCCTAAGGATGATTTAGGCCAACTATGGTTTGATTTGGCCAAGTAGTTTCAGAGGAGAAGATCTTTGTAAAAGATTACAAAAATTAAGAAAAAATTGTGAAAAAAAATTGACTTTAAAGGGCGATAACTCTTTATGGGGTCAATTGACAATTTTTGATATGTTTGACTTATTTGTAAATCTTACTTTGCTGAACAATTTTGCTGTTTACATTTTATCTCTATCTATTATAATATTCAAGATAATAACCAAAAACTGCAAAATTTCCTTAAAATTACCACTTCAGGGGCAGCAACCCAACAACGGGTTGTCTGATGCATCTGATAATTTCAGTGCAGATAGATCTTGACCTGATGAACATTTTTACAGCATGTCAGATTTGTTCTTAATGCTTTAGTTTCAGAGATATAAGCCAAAAAATGCATTTAACCACCATGTTCTATTTTTAGCCAAGGCGGCTATCTTGCTTGATGGGTGGGGTCATCGGATACACTTTTTAACCTAAATACCCTAAGGATGATTTAGGCCAACTATGGTTTGATTTGGCCAAGTAGTTTCAGAGGAGAAGATCTTTGTAAAAGATTACAAAAATTAAGAAAAAATTGTGAAAAAAAATTGACTTTAAAGAGCGATAACTCTTTATGGGGTCAATTGACAATTTTTGATATGTTTGACTTATTTGTAAATCTTACTTTGCTGAACAATTTTGCTGTTTACATTTTATCTCTATCTATTATAATATTCAAGATAATAACCAAAAACTGCAAAATTTCCTTAAAATTACCACTTCAGGGGCAGCAACCCAACAAGGGGTTGTCTGATGCATCTGATAATTTCAGTGCAGATAGATCTTGACCTGATGAACATTTTTACCGCATGTCAGATTTGTTCTTAATGCTTTAGTTTCAGAGATATAAGCCAAAAAATGCATTTTACCACCATGTTCTATTTTTAGCCAAGGCGGCTATCTCGCTTGATGGGTGGGGTCATCGGATACACTTTTTTACCTAAATACCCTAAGGATGATTTAGGCCAACTATGGTTTGATTTGGCCATGTAGTTTCAGAGGAGAAGATCTTTGTAAAAGATTACAAAAATTAAGAAAAAATTGTGAAAAAAATTGACTTTAAAGGGCGATTACTCTTTATGGGGTCAATTGACAATTTTTGACATGTTTGACTTATTTGTAAATCTTACTTTGCTGAACAATTTTGCTGTTTACAGTTTATCTCTATCTATTATAATATTCAAGATAATAACCAAAAACTGCAAAATTTCCTTAAAATTACCAATTCATAGGCAGCAACCCAACAACGGGTTGTCTGATGAGTCTTAAAATTTCAGGGCAGATAGGTCTTGACCTTATGAACATTTTACCCACATCAGATTTGCTCTAAATGCTTTAGTTTCAGAGATATAAGCCAAACACTGCATTTTACCCCCATGTTCTATTTTTAGCCATGGCAGCCATTTTGGTTGATGGCCAGGGTCATTGGATACTTTTTTTAAACTAGATACCCTCAGGATGATTTAGGCCAAGTTTGGTTGTATTTGGCCCAGCAGTTTCAGAGGAGAAGATTTTTGTAAAAGTTAAGGGATGACTACAGACGATGGACGACCAAGTGATGAGAAAAGCTCACTTGGCCCTTTTGGGCCAGGTGAGCTAAAAAGAAATTTGACTTATCGGTATGTTTGCAATACATTCATGACATTCTGCATTGTTTAAGGCATGTTTAAAGCAGAAACAATGGAACACATGCATTAATTATTCACTTTCAATACTTTGTGAAAGAGAACAACATGTTTTCTGCACTGTCATGACTGTGACAAACTTCAAATGATGTAATGCAACCTGTGACTTCAAGTGTGATTCGCTGTGATTCAACGCAATAAAGTACTGTAGTTTGTTTGTTCTTTTCTCTTTTTATTATAGTATTTTTCATTTTTTCATAATTATAGATAAAAAAAATAAAGGACTTTTTGTTTAACATGTTTAAGATACTGACTTTATCACTGTAAAATATATTTTACCATGATAAAGTCAGTATCAAAAACAAAAAGTCCTTTATTCTATATTTCTCACGTAGTCGCATTATTCATAATAAAAACCTCTCAATAATTTCTGAATTTACAATATCAACATTGATCAATGTATCTAAATTTGTCTACCTTATTGAATAGTTTCCCGAAATATTCAAAAACTCATATGTATATGCATACTTAATTGAAGCTATATAAATAGAATAGGTAAATTGTTAACAGTAAATATGCTTTTATAGACATTACTATACAGTATGTGTTTTTCTGTTGTTGAAGGCCATACAAGTGCCTATAATTGCTTCGCACAGTGCGGAGCTATTAGTTTCAGTCGATAAACAAGCCATCTTGAAATAATTACTAATCACATATAAATTCTGATTGGTTGCTTTATGATGCGGCTGAGATACAGCAACAGCTATTGGCTTAAATGAGATAAAGAATTACAGACTTTTCTTGTCTCAGGATAAGACATCAAATGCCGGAAAATTAACTATGTGTATTCCGATCAACTGTCATTAGTTCATGTTCGTTTTATTATGCATATATTGCACACTGAAATTCAATATTGAAATATCAATTATTAATACGTGTTTATTTGCTTTGTTAATCTGCAATATGCACGATTTGTTTTGCTAAACAATGTTCCTATACAATGTTTACAAAAATGCATTATCTGTATTTTATAACTTCTGCCAATATAGGCACACCTCCAGAATACTAATTCAACAACCACATGCACACATATTACCTTAAATTAGGGTAAAGCGAAGCAGTCCACAGCTTTTTAAAAAGCTCAAACTTGTTAATGCTTACATTCACTTCATTTAAACTTTGACGGATAGTTGTCTCAATGGCAATCATACCACATCTCCTTATTTTTATATTAACTGATTAAAGGTGCAATAAAATTAATATGTGTTATAAAAAAAGATAACGTAAATTATTGTTCATACAACTTGATCAAAATAGATAATCATGCCAAAATTATCAACCAGAATATTAAGTAGTTGTCCTGGTACTACCCATAGTGATACTATAAATGCTTGTATAGAACAAGACTGATATGATGTGCCAGATTTTTATCTTAGCCATTTTAGCAGCCACAAGTAAACAATACTTGATTCCACACAATTAAAATCAGTTCTACCTTCTGCAACTTGCAAGCTCACAAGGTACATGTAAAATCTCACTAAAAGACATCATATGGAGCACTAGGTAATATACATTATTCTGATTTGTATCAAACCTGTCCTTAAGCTTGCTCTTACCATGCTTACTCATACATGTAACAACAAATTTCTACCAGATTTTGTTTAGCCTGCATTTACAAGGTCCATACATATTATCTATCCCCTTTTATACTTCTATGCCACATAAATATATTATTTTAATGATATTAACAAATTTTGTCGCGAGTGCTATGTCAAGAATGTGGAGTCCATACACTGTTTTCTCACATGTCTCATGCACGAGATGTATACTTTGGCCTTTGTTAGTCTTGTATCATTTTTAATTTTAGTTTCTTGTGTATAATTTGGAGTTTAGTATGGCGTCCATTATCACTGAACTAGTATACATATTTGTTTAGGGGCCAGTTGAAGGACAACCCCAGGTGCGGGAGTTTCTTGTTGCATTGAATACCCATTGGTGGCCTTCGGCTGTTGTCTGATCTATGGTCGTGCTGTTGTCTCTTTGACACATTCCCCATTTCCATTCTCAATTTTATTTAGTATTTTTAGCTATGTCATAACAACCTGTTACACTTCCTGTATTACATGTACTAGCACTACTTTGCTCTCTCACCTTTTTTGCCCTATCTTTGTCACAGTCCTCTGTTTAAATAAGCTATTTATATTTGAAGACCTATTTTGCATAATCATAATGGACATATTCTGTTGCCGTCCTGATACTCCCGAATATCACGAATATAAACCATGTACATAGTGACGTAATCAATCAATCATACATTATTTCCTGCCAAGTTGAGACAAGTACAAAATGTAAATAACTGTATTATTCTATTCTTATTATAAAAAAATTCGTAAGGGTTTCTCGGAACCCAGTGTCTCGCCTACTTTTGCTGTTGTCCATGTTTTCAGTGTGATAGGGGAATGCACATAATAGATTTACAGTTAATGAAATAAAACGTTTGAAATGTATGAAAAAAGTTATGCTTGTAAAAAATGAATACAGTATACAATCAAATCTATAGATTTATAAAAGAGTTGAAACATAACTTTATTGAATGAACAAATGATAAAGAAGAAAATTTTTACATTGCTTGATGATTTATCCCTTAATTCAGATGACGACGGAATGTAGGATCGCTATGTCTAGCTTTTGCGACAAAAGTCGCAGGCTCAACAAAAATGGGGAAAAAATTATTAAAAATTTTACTCTAGATACTATCTTTTGATTGTAAGAAACTTCTGTCCAAGTTTGGTAAAAATCCGGGATGGTTTATGAATCTAATAAATGTTTTAAAAATTTTAACTGCAGACTGTATGTAATGTTAACTGGAAGAAAAACTAAGTCCATTTATAAGTAATATACGGAAAAACAGGAAATAAATTTTTACAAAATTTCCTTCTAGATACTAGCTTTTTATCATAAACAAGCTTCTGTCCAAGTTTGGTACAAAACCAGGATATTTTATGAAAGTAATTAAAAATTTTAAAACTTTAACTACAGAGTGAGTGTAATGTTAACTGGCAGAAAAACTAAGTCAATTTATAAGTAAAATACAGATAAACAGGATTTTTTTTTACAAAATTAACTTCTGGTTACTATCTTATGATCATAAACAAGCTTCTGTCCAAGTTTGGTAGAAATCCAGGATATTTTAAGAAAGTTATTAAAATTTCAAAAACTTTAACCACAGACATGACAGACATTACAGAGTGAATATTTGTGGACACCGCCGACGCCGAAGCAATGTAGGATCGCTATGTCTGGCTTTCAGGGGTTCAAATTAACATTTGGTACTGGAAGGTCCAGGACCTTTGACACTCCAAACTGAAAGGTCCACAACCTAAATCCCTGGTCCTACTTTATTTGAAATTTTTCATAACTCAGTAAGATACAAAATTTTTGGTCTTAGGTTAGCTTGTTTAATTATATTTAAACTGCATGCAATATTTTGTTCAGTTTACAAATTTATTGCCAGGCAACCATATAAATGTAGCACTAAACTGTCAGTGTCACTGTGGTATAACATGTATAATAATAAACTTGTCTTACAAGTATATTATGAACTCAAATAATCTTTTTTTTTTGGTATTGGGGAGGGTGTCACTGTGAGTGGGTGTGTTGTCTCAATTATTGGTAATTATACCATTATCTCAGGGCTTACACTACTTCAGATCATAGGGAGAAGTGACTTCTATAAAGGGCTATATGTATCTTTTTTTATACTGTTCAAGTCATAACCAAGTATACAATTAAAGTAACAGTTCAAATTCATAGTGGTCAGGGGCGTTTCTATGATATTATAAAGAGGGGGCGTAGAATCAAATCTTTTTGTACCTTTTTTTGCTAAAAAACATAAAATAATTGTGAAGTGCACTAATGTAACAAGATTAGCAGATTACGATAGGTTTTTTTTTTTTAAAAGGGGGGGGGGGGGGGGGGGGGGGTGCGTACGCCCATTACGCCCTCACCTGGACCCGCCCCTGGCTGTGTAAGTTCATCATATGTTACACAATTATATTAGTTCCTCTCTTGTCAGAAACTACTAACTAAATATCTAGCACTAATAAAGAAAGAACTTTGTTTACATCAAAAATGAAAATAAAGCGTGAAATGCTTAATTTTTCGCTTTGGGGTCAATATTCTTCTGTCAGATGTGCCATTTATGGGTCCGTAGTCATTATCCTTAGAATCCGGATTTCATTCATAGCTGGTCCTTTCCCGAATACGACCAGTAGTTTGTACAAATATTTCAATGACGGACGAGAAAATTTACAAAATTAAGCGATGTCTGAAATGCATTTTGGAAGGAATATGACGTATTTAATGCACTGAATGAATTACAAATTTACTTAAGGCAACTTTCATCACTTCTAATGGGTTAACAAACTTATTTTGCCGACATTTAAAATGGTTTGAAGTACGCTCTCGAGGGGTATACCATGTCAATAGTAATATGGCTTTGAAATGACGATACTGATTGTTAATTTTCTTTCAAATCGAAGGTCCGTCGTGCGTAGCTAGTAACAAAAATGAAAGTCCGATTGCAATAGTGGAAGGTCACAGACCTCGGACCACCGCTAATTTGAACCCCTGGCTTTTGGACAAAAGTCGCAGGCTAAAAAAAAAACGATACTAAGCAAAGAAAATGCACCTAAATATCCCACTCAGCATGTCGGTCTGTATAACGGAGGATATATCTTCTAGTCCCATATTGTTCTGACATCTGACAGCCTTTTAAGAATTTGTTGGGCCGTCAGACCTTGGAATAGTATACTATATTATGTCCCAGGTCAGGCCAATCTCAAATTGGTGTCTTCGTGTCAATATGTTGTTGCCCTGAATATTAGTGAAATATTTGATGTTTGACGTTAAACCGCCACTAAAAAATCTCATATTTTCTTTTATATAAATAAGAAGATGTGGTATGAGTGCAAATGAGACAACTCTCCATCCAAGTCACAATCAATGTATAAAAAGTTAACAATTATAGGTCAAAGTAAGGCCTTCAACACAGAGCCTTGGCTCACACCGAACAGCAAGCTACATGTATAAAGGGCTCCAAAATGACTAGTGTAAAACAATTCAAACAGGAAAATAGTTTAACTGAATATCAATCCTAAAAAAAACTGTGATTATTTGGAGAGAATCGGTAAGAAATTAAGTCAGCTTCAAATTCAGAACAAGAGTGCACACGCTGAAATGTCTCGCCTTCTTTACTAATCATTGATATTATGTTGATAGTCCTAAATATAAAGCTTTATTACAACTGTCACATAAACTTAACATTAACCAAGTAAACTAAACATTGACCAATGAACCATGAAAATGAGGTCAAGGTCAGATGAACCATGCTAGGCAGGCATGTACAGCTAACAATTCTTCCATACAACAAATATAGTTGACCTATTGCTTATAGTTTAAGAAAAACAGACGAAAACACAAAAACTTAACACTGAGCAATGAACCTTGAAAATGAGGTCAAGGTCAAATAAAACCTGCGTGACTGACATATAGATCATAAAATATTTCCATACACCAAATATAGTTGAACTATTGCATATAGTATTAGAAAAAAAGACCAAAACTCAAAAACTTAACTTTGACCACTGAACCATGAAAATGAGGTCAAGGTAAGATGACACCTGCCAGCTAGACATGTACACCTTACAATCATTCCATACACCAAATATAGCTGACCTATTGCATGCAGTATTAGAAAAAAAGACCAAAACTCAAAAACTTAACTTTGACCACTGAACCATGAAAATGAGGTCAAGGTCAGATGACACCTGCCAGCTAGACATGTACACCTTACAATCATTCCATACACCAAATATAGTAGACCTATTGCATACGGTATAAGAAAAACAGACCAAAACACAAAAACTTAACTATAACCACTGAACCATGAAAATGAGGTCAAGGTCAGATGACACCTGCCAGTTGGACATGTACACCTTACAGTCCTTCCATACACCGAATATACTAGACCTATTGCTTATAGTATCTGAGATATGGACTTGACCACGAAAACTTAACCTTGTTCACTGATCCATGAAATGAGGTCGAGGTCAAGTGAAAACTGTCTGACGGGCATTAGGACCTTGCAAGGTACGCATATACCAAATATAGTTATCCTATTACTTATAATAAGAGAGAATTTAACATTACAAAAAATCTGAACTTTTTTTTCAAGTAGTCACTGAACCATGAAAATGAGGTCAAGGACATTGGACATGTGACTGACAGAAACTTCGTAACATGAGGCATCCATATACAAAGTATGAAGCATCCAGGTCTTCCATCTTCTAAAATATAAAGCTTTTAAGAAGTTAGCTAACGCCGCCGCCGCCGCCGCCGCCGCCGGATCGCTATCCCTATGTCGAGCTTTCTGCGACAAAAGTCGCAGGCTCGACAAAAACACCTATATCAACTAAACGATAATATGGATAATAACTTTTAATAGACATTTTTGGAAAAAAAAAATGAAAAATAAATTTAATTAACAGGCCTGTTTTAAAAACATATATATAAAACAATATCAAGAATATAATTTGAAGTGATTTGTATAGGAATTGACCCATACAGCTCTGACAGAGACACAATCTTTTTGTCAAGAAATTAAACAAAATTTTCCTTATACGCTGGTCAAAGTGTTTTTAGATTTTACTTTTTGATAAAGCAAAGCATGGAGACATAATAATCTTGTGGTATAGGCGGGCAAGGAGGTTTCATGTTTTCCCTCCTTTTTATAAAAAGATACATAATAGATTGGAACATGTAAAGTCTTGTTTTTTATTAAAAGTTGTTATTCTTGAGGGGTTCTTGCATCCTAACTCTCATTGCATTCCTGTCTCAATGTCAGAGAAGTTTTGTGGGTTGCTCGAGTTATTTTCACACAACGTGTTTGCTTTTGCTGTGCAATCGATTTAAATTTCGACCGGTGATCGATCATTTGTAAAGCGGAAAGAAAAGACAACCGATTAGTTTTTATTTAAAGAGGAAAAATTAAACTCGAATGGAAATAACAATGTACATAAAAATTTGTAAAAAGAGTTTGTTTTATGAATATGCAATTACAAATCTAATTGCTGATATTAAATGTACATTCCCATGGCTATTTGTACATGATTCTTTTTTTTAATGTCCAGTGGCAAATGTTTCATGTATTTATAATACAAGTTCATTCTGACAGCAAATTTCATCCGTTTTATCGAAGTTTCAACCTCAATACAGTCTTCATATATAGTGATTGAACAATTTTACTATAGATGTTTCGAACAAACTTTTAAACTCACTAATTTTCGATTATATTACATGTATTATCAATTAACAACTGGACAACTTTCAGTTTTAAAAGATTTCGATCTATAAGTTAGTGTATAGTCATGACAGTGTAGATGAACAGAAATCATTTTCCTTGAAAACAATATTCGCTTCCCATGGTCAAATGATACTTTTTCGGTATTGACAGTTTCCGAGACTAAATTATGTGAACGATGAGAGACTGCACTATACTGAGGACTGTTCTTTACATTTTCTTTTTAATGGAGTGTTTTTCCCATAGATCACACTGTTAACCAAAACTTGCAAGGTTCTCGATTGCTTTATATGCATATTGTAATGGTATTTCTTAAATACCAGATGGGAGATATGGTATTATCTGTTTCTGTTTCTTTGACATACTTATAAGAAAGAGTAGTTCAAATACCACGCCATAAACGATTCTATGAAATAATTTTTCTATTACGGCAGTAATGTACCTTCCATTATTGGACTATTGGGGTGTCAGACTAATTGGGTGTCAAACCAATGGGGTGTTGGACTAATGGAGTGTTGGACCAATGGGGCGTCGGACTAATGGGGTGTCGGACCAATGGGGCGTAGGAGTAGTGGGGTGTCGGAATATCGTGCGACCCAAATTATGACGTCTTGAAAGGCTTTTTCAATTTTTTGCTTTGACACCTTCCTGTTGCAGTAATTTGGACTATGAATGGGGTCTGATTTAGAACAAGGCACTGGCTACAGTTTCATGGAAATGAAACAATAATATAAAAATTATTGTTACATTGGAGACTAATTGCCGGAATGCAGGGTTGGGTAAGGAACCGATTAATTACGAATGTAACAATAATATTTGGGTCTACGGTTACATTGCGTTATTGTTACATTAACGCACTGCAATGTATGATGGGAATAGTAATAAATATGTATTAAAATAAAACTTGAAAACTTTTATTTGATGTTTACAATATTGCATACAATATTTTGATTTTTTATTTACAATGACAGTTTCTACAAATCCAGTATGTTGTTTTTGGGGCATGTTTTAGTCCGACGCATTTTCGGTGAAACCACTCTAAGCAGCCATCACAAACCAGTGATACGGCAATGTGCACGCTCTATATTGCATACCGTACAATTACATTCTGCATTTTCCCTTTATGAAGTTTAAGAAACTTTCAATGTCTGAATGCCATGCTTCAGGTGAAAAATATTTTGTTACTCTTGCGATGTTTACATTTTCGTCCAATATTTTTTTTGGAAGCATGTTAGGTTTTTTAAATACAAGTCAATTGTGAAAGCAATTAATGTTGACATTTGCCGACAGATTGAAATTGGTGGAAACAGTGTTTTCATTTTCAGAGTCCAGATATTTTGTGATCTTATCAGTCGTGACAGTACATGCTCTATTGAACAGTTCATTAAGTATTCATCAAGAGTGATATTGAACTAAACTGTAGTAGTCATGATTTTTAACAACACCAAAACAATCAATACTTATTCGCTGAATAATATTATTATTATTATTAATATTATCTAGTACACATGGTACATATCGAAGAATTAAGCAACATAACTATAGAAGGTTTAAGTTTAATAAATCTATCATACATTGCAGTCTTTAATGTAACAATAATGCAATGTAACCGTAGACCCAAATATTAGTGCCTTAGAACAAATTGTTCTTGATATTTGAAGCATCCTCGATTCCTACATGTGTACCTTTGTACTACATAAGGACTACAGGAGTCTACATGCTAGTTTGGGAAAAAGAATTTGAGGTGTTTTACGTTCTTGTGTTATATCACACAGTATTAAAGCCATCCAGTAAGTACAGTATACATACACCTTATCGCTATTTGTCCGCCATTACTGGACATCACACAGGTTCCCGTAAAATTTTGACGTCACAATACAAAATATCTGACGCCACAATGGAAAAGTGATTGTTGTATGACGTCAAAAGTTCAAGCGGGACAGATTCTCGGGTCAGCCGGGAATAGCGATAAGGTCACTGGTGTATTGTAGTTGCCAATTTTAATACTTGGTCTTTTGACATCAGTGATTTTGCGAACTCACAATACTTTTGTTGTTTTTTTCGTAGCACAAACACCCAAATGCAAGTACATGTTGATGTGCTCTGGCTTATTGAAAATTGTCTGGATTTTCTACAATACTTACAAATAATATATTGCATTTACTTTGTTTGTCGTTTATGAAATAAGCTGGTCCCGTTCAAGTGAAGGAACTAGCCTGGATTGCCTCGCGACGCAGACATGTACTAGAACCAGAAACCAGAAAAAGATCTGGTAACCAGACTGGGCAAATTCAACTATGCACTCGAGTCTTTGTGTTGAAAGGTACCAGCTCTCAACTGTTCTGTGAAGGTATTTTCCTCCGTTATATATCGGAGCACCATCACTTAGGATATAGGTTTAACACTTAAAAGATATTTTCAAAGATATTTACATAGTGTGGTGGGGTGTTTAAGTTTAAAAGTTTTATATACATGTGATAACTGTGGATTTAAAAAAAGTATTTAAAATTATGATTTGTTTGCATCATTTATAGATCTACCTAGGTTAAGATTTAGGATTAAAAATAACATTTGAGTTTCTTTGAGACAGAGGGATGTTTATATCATATGTTTAAAAAGTTAAAAAAAATTAAAATATATAAAAAATTAAAAGATATAAATAAAGTTAATTAAAACAAAAACAAAAAGAAAGGGAGTAATTAAGTCAGTTGATATCAGCTGTAGAGGAGTTAACCAAAAATAGAATATATCTGTCTTAAACTATAAATTTATAGTGCATATATTAGGATTTAGTAAAGCTGGAATCAAATGCGTACAAAAGTGAAGTAAATTTTTATGCAGCACAGCCGCACAAAAATATAACCATGCATAGCAACATATGAAAATAAATGACCGATCCAGAAAAATTCCCCGCTTAACTAGGATATCAAATGTTAGTCCCCCAATAAAAAAAAACAAGAAATATTGTGATTAATTGAATTCAGAAACTACATGAATAAGGTGAATTACAACGATATACATTTTAAAGATTTAAAGTCTACGGTAAATAATTTGAAGAATAATAGTTTGATTTATGTTGTAATTAGTTGACGATTGACATACGGTTTAAGCTAATTGTAGGGCAAGAATGAAATTTTGCAAATGACGATAACAATTTTAGGCTAATTTAGGCAAAAGACATCAATGGGATATTCAAATTCATAAGTCAAAAACAAATTGATAATGACATGGCAAAGAGGGTAATTTCATGCCTAAACCATTTTTTTTGACAAATTTATATATTTTTTTATGATTTTATATTTAATTTGTTTTTATTTTTTGTACTGGTATAGTAGTTCATGGATCCAAGGTAGTTTTTTATTTGTCTGTTCCATATACTGTGTCTTTTAATAAAGTTAATAAATTTTTATCGCATTTATTTTTTTTATTTTATTCTTTTAATGTTCATAAAGTATGGCTATACATTAAAGGTATTAAGGCAGGAAAATCTTGATAAATCGTTGCATATAAAAAAGAAGATGTGGTATGACTGCCAATGAGACAACTCTTCACAAGAGACCAAATGACACAGAAATTAACTGCTTTAGGTAACCGTATGGCCTTCAACAATGAGTAAAGCCCATACAGCATAGTCAGCTATAGCAGTTTGTTACAAATAAAACTTTTCCTCTGTCAGCTTCCATCACTTTGCTTTTGGCAGCGCAACAATATGTTTGAATTTCAAAACCGGATCTTTTCACCCAAAATCACGTTTGCTCCCATTCATGTTCAACCTCTTTCAC